TTCCTTTTGTTTTCGTTGATCAATTTCTTTCTTTTTATGATCTTAGCAACTCTGCTTGATTTTACCCAATTGCATGTATTTTTATTTTTTATATTTATATTTTCAAAAAAATTTAGGATAGTTTATATAAAAAATATTGTGGAAGACTTGAATGAAATACTTTTCGTAATGACTTCAAACTTTATCGCAATACAAAATTAATATTTATTACGTAAAAGAAGCCTCAATTACGTAAGACTTCCGTAATGACAATTTACAACTGTTACGTGAAAATACGCATCCATTACGTAATGCTTCAATAATGACAATTATTTCTTACGTAACAGTAAAATTAGAAGCGTTTCGAAAGGCTTCCGTAATGACTTCACACTTTACGTAACAGAAGGTTAATATTCATTACTTAAAAGAAGCCTCAATTACATAAGTGAAAGGACTTCCGTAATGACAATTTACAACTGTTACGTAAAATACATATCCATTACGAAATGCTTCCGTAATGACAGTTGTTTCTTACGTAACAGTAAAATTAGAAGCGTTACGTAAGGCTTTCGTAATGACTTCACACTTTACGTAACAGATGGTTAATATTCATTACGTAAAAGAAGTCTCAATTACCTAAGACTTCTGTAATGACATTTTACAACTATTATGTAAAATACAAATCCATTACGTAAGCCTTCCGTAATGATAGTTGTTTCTTATGTAACAGTTCAATCAGAAGCATTACGGAAGACTTTCATAATGCCTCAACACTTTACGTAACAGAAGGTTAATATTCATTACGTAAAAGGACCCTTCGTTGCATAAGGTTCCGTAATAACAGTTATTTCTTACGTAACAGTTAAATTAGAAGGATTACGTAAGACTTCCGTAATTACTTATCACTTTACGTAACGCGAGATAAATATTCATTACGTAAAAGAAGTCTCCATTACGTAAGGCTTACGTAATGATATTTTACATATGTTAAGTAAACTATACATATGTTACGTAATCATTACGTACCACCTATTGAGTTTTTTGTAATGCAACCTATGAAACCTGTTATAGCAGGTAACAAAATCAAGTTACCTTACTTCAAAGCATTGTAGGAATTTCCAAAAATAATATATCAAAGTACATATAACAAGTGTTAATGCAGTCATATAGCTTACGTCATTTAGTTGTTTTTAACAACTATTGTAGATCATATTAATAATTAGGAATTTCCTATGGTAACTTGAATTTTTTTACCTGCTATAGCAGGTTTCACAGGTCGCATAACGTAAAATACAATAGGCATTACGTAATGGTTACGTAACATATGGTAATCTTACGTAACAGTTGTAAAAGATCATTACGGAAGCCTTATATAATAGAATGTGGCTTTACGTAATGAGTATTAACCTCGCGTTACGTAAAATGCTAAGTCATTACGGAAGTCTTACGTAACGCTACTTATTTAACTGTTACGCAAGAAATAATTGTCGTTCCGTAACCTTTACGTAATGAAAGGTCTTTTTACGTAATGAGTATTAACCTCACGTTACGTAAAGTGTTAAGTCATTACGGAAGCCTTACGTAACACTTCCGATTTAACTGTTACGTAAGAAATACCTATCCTTTCGTAACTTTTACGTAATGAATGTGTATTTTACGTAACAATTGTAAATTTTCATTACGGAAGCCTTACGTAATGGAAGGTCTCTTTACGTAATGAGTATTAATGTCGTGTTACGTAAAGAGCTAAGTCATTACAGAAGCTTTACGTAACGCTTTCGATTTCACTGTTACGTAAGAAATAACTATCATTCCGTAACCTTTTACGTAATTGAAGGTCTCTTTACGTAATGAGTATTAATCTCACGTTACGTAAAATGGTTACTTAGTACGAAAGTCTTACGTAACGCTTCTAATTTAGTAAGAATTAAAATAAGGAAAAGATTAAATAAGAAAAAAAAAATGTAAAAAAGGAAAGAAAAAAACAATAAAGGTAACTCACGAGGGTGGTGACCCGCAACCCTTGTTGCCAATGTTTTTTTACCTATTTTTTTATTTTTGATTTTTTTAATCAATGGTTTAAAATAAGTTTGATCAATTTTAACGGTTTAGATCTATGCAAGTTACCTAATTTGAAATTATACCCAAGTTATTGTAGGAGGTCCCAAATAATTAATCCTTTGGTTAGTAGTCATTATTTATCGTTTATAAACCAACCTGTAGAACAAGTTTTTTTCAAAGAGTGGCAAACCACAATAGAAGAAGGAATTTCATTAGCTCTTTAAATTTTAATGGTGTTATCATTGAAGGACTAACATCACTCAAGGAGACCTTTGTAGATCATTTCTCATATTTGTTCACCAAGGATAAACCTTCCAGGCCTTTCCCTGCCAACTATGGTCACATGAAAGTCTTAGAGAAAGAAGGTGAAGCACTTGTAAGACATTTCACAGAAGAAGAAATTTGGAGATCAGTGAAAAGATGCAAGGGCGACAAGGCGCCGGGGCTCGACGGGTTCTCTCCGGCTTTTTATAAACAATGCTGGAACTTGATTAAGTATGATATGCTAAAAGTTTTCGAGGATTTTTAACTAAAGGAGAGTTGCCAAGAGGCATTGCTCATTCATTTCTCTATCTTATACCAAAGAAAGATGTTGTTGAGGAGGTTAAGGACCTTATACCGATAAGTTTGATCGGAAGTGTTAACAAATTAATATCTAAGGTCCTCGCTGAGAGACTCAAGCCTATCATGAGGATACTAGTTTCTGGGAATCAGTTTGCTGGGACTCGTGGTCGCCAGATTCACGAGGCCTCTTTAATTGCAAACGAACTTGTGGACAGCAAGAAGAAAAGTGGTAAGTCTGGACTGATTTTCAACCTCGATATTGAAAAGGCATTTGACAACGTTAACTGGGGATGCCTGTTCAAAATCCTTGCAAGTTTGGGCTTCCCACCTACCTTTCAAAGATGGATTCGTGGTCTGGTGTCTTCTCCCTTCCTTTCGGTCCTAGTAAATGGAGAAGCTGCTGGGTTTTTCAAGAAGGGAAAAGGTTTGAGGCAGGGGGACCCAATGTACCCTTTCCTTTTCAACCTTATTATGGATGTTCTTTCGAGGATGCTTGAAACATTAAGGGTGAGTGGTCTGATATCCGGTTTCTTTACGGATGAAGGTGCCCTGAGAGGTGAAGTTACACATTTGTTATATGCTGATGACACAATTGTTTTCTGTGACGCCGATGAGGATCAGGTAATGCATCTTTTGGCCACTATTGTTTGTTTTCAGACTGTTACAAGGCTCAGGATTAATGTGGAAAAGAGCCAGATGTACCCGGTGGGTAACGTGGATAACCCGAACTTGTTTGCTGTTTTGTTTGGGTGCGGTTGGAGTTATCATCTAGTGGTTTACTTGGGGCTTCCTCTTGGAGCAAGCCCGAACTCCGTTCCACACCCGGTTGGAAGGTTGGAGAGGCAAGTTTCTATCTTTTGGAGGAAGGATTATTCTTGCTAGTAGTATTCTTTCGAGTCATCCACTATTTCTATGTTCAATTTGTAGAGCCCCTAAGGCTATCATTGGAAAGATGGAGCAATCTCTGAGGAATTTCATTTGGTCGGGTGTCCAGGAAAAAGGGAAATACCATTTGGTTGATTGACATATGTGTAAAACAGCAAGGAAAGCCGGTGGGCTGGGTATTCTGGACTTGGCAAGTATGAATTTAGCTCTTCTCTCTAAATGGATGTGGAAATTTTCCATGGAGAAGGAAGCATGGTGGAGAAAGATGATTCAGATAAAGTTTCCTAATCCTACTTCTCTTAGGAAAGCTGGACAGCCTGGTGGAAGAATTGGTTGCTCATTCTGGATGTCTATTATGAAAGAAGAGAATAATTTTTGGAGGTTTGCATATGTGGATCCGGGGGGTGGTGCTTGGGTTTCCTTCTGGCAAGATCGTTGGAGCCAAGATGTGACTTGTACAGATTCTTTCCCAAGAGTCGCCGTCGCATCTGCTCTCCCCAACGGATGGGTCTCAGACTTTATATCCTTTTCTTCTGAGGGTGTGAACTAGAATCTATCACTTACCATTTCTTTGAGAGAGAGGGGGGGGGGCTGAGAGGGAGAGGATTGATTTGTCAATTTTTTTTATCAAATCTTCCTGTTGGTTGGGTTTCTTCTGGTCCTTGCAGGTTGGTCTGGAAGCCTAATCCAAGTGATGGTTTCTCTATTCAATCCATGTATCGAAGCATCAGCCATGAGAAGTTCCCTGGTGTGTTAACTTTCCATTCAAAGCTGTTTGGCGATCACAGGCACCTCTGAAAGTGTGTGGCTTTGTTTGGATGCTCTACCACAATCGAGTTCTCACTCACGAAAATTTGAAGAGGAGAGGCTGGAATATTGTGAGTAGATGTGTGCTTTGCGAGGATGATGTCGAGACGATAAACCATCTTTTCAGAACGTGTAAATACAACGGCAACAATGGGACAATTTCATGTTAGCTCACAGGTGAACTTGCAGATTGGTTGGATTGGTTGAGACACCTCTTTGTACATTCTTTTGTTTGGGAGGTTTGGAAGGAGAGAAATGCTAGAACTTTCGAAGGTAAAAACATGGCATGGCAGTCTATTTTTCATAAAATTAGTCGAGTGTTATTGCGATGGATTGCTGCGGCTGGTTTGATTAGCCAGCATAATACAAAGGTTTGGCTGAGAATGCTGTCTCAGGCGTGTCCCTTGGATCAGGCGCCCTTGCCGCACCGGCCGCCTTCTCTTGGGCTTGAGATCAACCACTATGATCACGTCCGTTAGCCCGTCGCTCGCCACTATCAAGCCCGGCGAGGACTCCAAGCACCCTAGCACCGTTCCAATTAAACACCTTCCCCTGCATCTTCAATCCTCTTGAGTTCATCCTCTCTATCTGGCTGCAGAATCGGACCCAAAAAACCAAAGAGTCTCATCCATCCATCCATTGGAGAACTCATAGCTAGAGAAACAAAGAAAGAAAGAAAGAGTGTGGTCGAAGAAACCTTCTGATCAACGCTCAAAGGGATAGCTTGTGTCCCACGGCAAAGCAACACAGAGGAATCCCCACAGTTGGAAGTAATAATCTGGCAACAAGACACCACCACAACCAAAGCCGACGATCTCCGGAGCAACCGCTTCAGCTAGTATCTCGTCGTCAGCCTTCTCGAACCCACCGGTGAACGTAGCTGGCCACCTTCTCTGCCATCGATCATCATCAAACCCACCGGCGGTGGCCACCGGTACTGTTTTCTTCGCCGTTTCCTAATCCCACTCCTCTGCTATCACATGATGCATCCTCTCCTTGCAGAAATTCGCCACCTGTCCACCCCCAACAAAAGCTTTTTCTCATTAGATTCCCCTAAAGGTTCCACCTTTACACTTGTTTTTCTTCTCATTAATACTGTTTTAAATTTGTGGAAGGCCAACAGTATTCATGCAGCGGGTTCATCCAACTAACTCTTTACCTACCGCGAATGCTCTCAGACCTTCCATGAAAAGTGACATCTTAACTTAATTAATCAGCAGTCTGATTACACTAATTAATCATCACCAATAGTGATTGGGAATCTATAATCAAATCAAGATAAGCCACCTGCCGTCACAAACAATCTCATTATAGTAAGCAACGCAAACAATGGTCCTTTTAGGAATGAGGATATAATTAAGTTGGTTGCGTGGCAGGAGCTCCTGCTATCCACATACCCATCACAAAGATCCTCCCCAACCTAACAGTAATGAATAGTTAAAAAGAAAGGTAAAAATAGTGACTCCACAATAACAGATGATTGATTTGGGTCGGTGGATGATAGTGGATGTCTGAAGATCAGGTCGGTAAGATGGTTGTTGTGATATGAACAACATTGTCAATTAGGAAATAATTGTGAATCATGAAATATACATAGAAAAACTAGCTATTTAATTGTATATGATTTAATAATCTATAAATTCTATATTAAATAATAATAATCCTATCTATGGCCAACAAAAGCTATAAATAATGTTCTATCTAAATTATAACACAATACAAAACTGATGTTTTAAGGATATATACTATATATAAAATAATTTCAATTATCAAAACCAACTATACAAACACGAAACTCAAAAGGATTGGACCGGTGGTAATGTGAGGATGAGAAGGTCCATATACCCTAGGTATAAACCTCACGACCAACAATCAACAGGGAAAGTTATACAAATAGACACATTCACATATTCATACATATATAAATAATGTTAAGATATACATTTTGATCCGTCTAAAACCTTACCCAACGATTACTCGAACTTAGTGAATCCAACTAATACATGATACTGGTAGAATTCAAATCCGAATAAATTTCAAAAAACTTAATGATTAACTCATCCATTTCTCATTCCAATTTTGATTTCACCTTGTTTTTCTAATAAATTCAGTTTTCACCAACTTGTTTATTAGAAAAGTGAAATAAGAGGACTTTCGAAAAATAATTTAGAGATCTCCCGTCCTAAGTACCAAACAAACCCAACCAACACAAAGCAAACAATATACTTAATTTTTTGTCGACATGCCCCAACCCAGTTAGGAAGCCAAGCCAACACGGGAAGAAGAAGAAACTTCAGGACACCTTCCCTTTCCTCCATTCCCACAGCCCCACTACACGTGGCGCACCGTAACCAACCCTCCCTGGATCCCACTTCTATTCCTTTCCCGTTTTTCTCTTTTTCATTCCAACAACAACAATTTCTCCACTATAAAAATACAACAAAATAAAACTAATAATTTGAGTATTTTATCATCATCCTAGCAGTAGGAATCAACGAAAGAAGAAGAGTGGAAGGTCGGCAAATTGACGGCGAGTAGAACCAAAAGCCAAGAAATACCCAACAAGTAAAAACCTAGCCGACCGCCTATTCTCCGTCCGTCCTTAACCGAAATTTAAGCAAACGGAAAGAACGGACGATGATGATGATGTGGGTGCTGTGATGATGATGGGAGATGTCGGTGACGTTATCCGGACTTGGGAAGAAAATTACAAAAGAAACCCTCCACAAGGGAAAGAGGGATTGCACGGAACCAAGGGACACGTGTCCTCGAGAATAGTGGGAAATGAAAAAACCCCAAAATCCTCGAGATATATGCACCACTCTTGCTTCTACGCATGTCTTCTCCTTGTCAGAAGCTTTCCTTTTCAAAATTTAACATTTGGAGCCACAGAAAAATCGCCTCCAAAAATTATAACTGAATTATTCAATTTTATCAAGTATTATTATTATTATCCGAACTGTATCGTACCATCGATCCGACTACAAGAACTGAACATTTACCGAATTCGTTCATCGATCAAATCATCATTTTGAACGAGCTTTAGCAGATTGAATTACTTGTTTATGATAAATGTGTTTCGATCACACGAGGGAAATAGCTTACCAGAAAAACTGTTTAAAAATTTCCCTTACGACTTAGTTCGGAGAAAAATAATGATAATTAGGTGGGCGAAATCCAAGGAAAGATTTTGCAGGCAAATTACTAACTAAATAAATTTGTTAAAAAATACGAAGCCTACTGTATTGTATTGTATTGTATGAAGTATTGGAGTAGAAGAGTCTAGAATCGTAAACCTTAGAACCGTTGTGGCTGTCGTAAACGCCGAAGAAATAGACGGGAGAGACCTCGCCGGAGGTTCTGGAACCGGGGGCGGCACACCCGCCGATGTGGCTGCAGGTCCGGGAAATGAAGCACGGGACAATAGCGACAGCGTCCTCCATCTCGCACCGCCTCCCGATCACCGAAGTGGATCCCCAGCTCACCACTCGGTTGTTCTTATGTCCGACGCACTTCTCCCTCGCCGCGACCTCCATCGCCGCCGTGGCGAGCTCGACCTCGGAGAGAGGGATCTCGCTGGAGCTCGCGATGTCGAAGGAGCTGGCGCTGGTGCTGCGGGAGGAATTTTCGGTCCAGAGAGCGGACAGCGCGAACGACGAGCTCGCGGAGGAAGCCAGGTCGGTGAGTGAATCGTCGCGCTCGAGTTGCTGGTCTTTTTCCTCGTCCGTCGAGTCCATGAATCGAGAAATCGGAAGAGAAGCTTGGAGGAGGGGGGAAGGGGAAAATTAAAGAGGGAAGGGGAAAAGAGGGGAAAGAGAGAGAAAAGGAGAGGAGCAGGGGATACAATAAAAGGAAGGCGTGTGATCGATGGTGGAGTGACACGTGTTGGGGGGCAAGTGTAATTATTTAAGCACTGACTCTGTTTGGGGGAAATTTATTACGGGAGAGAATCGGAATGTGAAAAGTGGGGGAAGGGAGAGATAGTCACCGCAACGTGGCCGTCGAATGAGGCGATCTGGCGATGCCACGGTGGTTGGGTTCTTAGTAGGGGTGACAGATCGGGTTCGGTTTTTGGGTTAACCCGAAACCAAATGTTGTCTGTTTGGGTTTTGGTTTTTCGGGTTCAACCCGAACTGTTCTGCAGCGGTTTCGGTTTCGCTGAAACCCGAAAACCAATAATAACCCGAAAACCCGAACTGTTGAATTGGTCTTACACTGTCGTTTTGGAGAGACGACGCGATGTTGTAATCCCTAGCTTCACCTTTGCCGCTTCACCTTGCCCACAGCAAAACAGAGCCTCCGCCATCATTGTCCTCGCCGCCACCAACCTTGTGGGGATCTTCGACTTCATCTTCATTGTCTCTCTCAATCAATCCATTGGTGTCCATCCCTCTCTCGCCACTGTTTCGCATGCGTAATCATCGCCGACCTTCCTGGCTGCTTTGGTGACCAAAACAACAATCCCATTGAACTTAGAGATGGTCAGCTTTGCATGCGTTGCGATCTCGCCAAGATAAGCATCAACCGTCTTAGCCACTTTTTGGGTAGCAGTGGAATAAAATTCCCTGAAATCACTGCCATTAAAAACCCCATATCCGTTTCTCCAACTCGTTCTTGCAAGCGATTGTCATTTTTAAGGAAGACTGCAGATCGGAGGAGGCAGCAGAGGAAATAAATAGGGAAAGCGGTGTTTTCGGAGGGTAAAAAAGAGACGATCGATTGGAGAAGCTCGCGCTGATGAGCTCTGAGCTCCAACTCATGACCGAGAAGATCAGGATCGAACGATTTTGACCCGCTTCCCAAATGGTCATGATGAGATCCCGGTGATTTCTCTCCGTGAAAGTGACCAGTGCGCTTGATTGGGAGAGGCTAATGAGCTTCATCATTGCCTGGAAAGTGAGCTTTATTGCTTGCTCTCTGTATCTGGGATTGCGAGGTAACGCTGAAAAGTGTGTACTGCAAGCTCGACAAAACCCTTTGCCAGCACAGGCAGACTGCCCGGATTTGGCTAAGGCATTGGGTGAGTTCAAGATGGTAAGTTTGGAGCTTAATTCGAAGAGAAGGAATGAGAGTCGGGTTCCGAGGTTTACCTCCCATGAAAGTACGCAACTTTTACTACAGCGACAAGGCGTTGGATGAGGAAGTGGGTACCTGGAAGCCATCGATCGAGCAGCTCCAAATTGGGATCGGGGCTGTGCAAGTTGGTGGCGGAAGAGGCAGAGTTGCAATCCGAATTGCATTCGGATTGAGACTTATTACTTTGTTTCCTTGTTTGTTTTGGATCTTTCTATTTTAGGTTTTGTTTTGGTTGTATTTAAGTACGTAGAAGGGTTTGTAATAGTCAGATGATTAAGAATTGAAGAATTGAAAACCCTAAAACTAAGTTTCGTGCTTTGTTTTGATTGAGAGTTTGGCCGAGAAAACCAAGCTCGAAATTGAGCTCTTGTATCGATCAAAACCCCATTGATTGTGGGCAATCATTGACTTTGTTCGTTGAGCCTTCCTCCAGATGTAGGATTGCACATCGAATTCCATCCCCAGCTGGCTAGTTGTTGACGAAATTCCGAGCTTGTTTCTCAAACTAGAATTTGGAGACCAATCACCCTATCACTTTGGATTTCTCTCGTTCTGGATATACAGACAAACGAAAAACAAACACTCTTGCACTCCTAAAACATGACTAAAAGCAGATTAATTGATACAGCAAGAAAGCAAAATTCAAACACGTACAAAGCAAAATTCATCTTCATTATTTTATTGCGTGGTCCACAAGCAACAGAACAGGCTTCCGTCCGTGGCTTCAAACCACCAGGGACGGCAGAGTGTTCGTTTCACCGGTAGTTCCTGTACACAGGGCTGTACATGCAGCTCTCCGCGTACTTTACGAGACTCGCCGGACGAGGAATCCGGCTGGCCAATCCAAGCTCGTAAGCCTTGGCAGCGACTTTAGCAGCGATCTCTGCCGAGATCTTCCTGATCTTGGAGAAAGGCGGGTAGATCAGCCCTTTCTCGTACTCTGCATCCGTCACTTGTTCTGCCAATGCCTCAGCTGTAAACACGAAAAGCAGTGTTTTAGGGGGGAAAAAAAGACTTATCATCATTCCACCGTATGGATTTTTTGCTAGCGATGTAGACAACTTACAAGCTGCGAGAAGCATGTCGTCGTGGACGCGAATGGCGCCAGACATGACCACTCCCAACCCGAATCCAGGGAAAATGTATGCGTTGTTGCCCTGAATATCCAATCCACAACAAAAGGAACATCATTGTCTCGGTACTTTGATGGTCTTGTGAGCATTTAAGAACAAGAAAAAGGAAGAATCAGGAAAGGGAAAAACCTGTCCGGGGACGAAAACTTTGCCCTCGTATTCGACAGGATCGAATGGACTCCCGCTAGCGAAAATGGCTTTGCCCTGTCGAGTAAACATAAAGGCAGGTTAGTTATCGTGCATTGCTTAGCAAAGATGCAAAACAGTAGAGGCTGCTTCACGTTTGATAGTAAGGACTTATTGTGCTTACCTTGCTCCAGGTGTATGCTTCTTCGGCAGTACACTCAGCTTGTGAAGTTGGGTTGGACAGAGCCATGATGAGTGGTTTCTGCACGTGGTTCAAATGGAAACAGTCAAGGTTTTTGTACTGGTTGATCACATTGCATATTCACTATACAGTCTAATCTGAGAAAGAGGAAAATACCTCATTGAAGGAAGACATGGCTTCAATGACTTCCTTTGTGAATGTTTTGCCCATCCCTGATGCTCCGATCAGAACCGTTGGTTTGAGTGTCTGGACAAGACAATGAAATATCAGCAAGGCTAGAAAAGGTTGACAAAAGTTGACCGGCGATTTCTTGTTCACAAAAGATATTCTTTTTCATTACGTTGACAGCTTCCAAGAGTGTCTTGACAGATTCATGCTCATGTGCCCATGGCTGCTTGAAGTGCTGAAGTGATTCTAGGCGGGATTTCACGATTAAACCCTGTCAAAAGTAGAGGGGCTGTGGATTAAGCAAAATTGTAAATTGACTGATTGATTAAGTTGCATGCAATCTTGAGAGTTGGCTGGCATTTCCCAACTCACCTTTGAGTCCACCAAGTAGATCCTCTTACGACACTCTTCCAAAGGAGTATTTGTCTGGAAAAAGGAAACTATCCCAGTGAGTGAAACATTACACTAGTGCAATGTTAGATCCCCAAACAACAAAAAGGAGACCGTAGAGCCATGAACAATAGAAACATACTCGCTTTGACATCTCGAGAGCTATAAGCTCAGCTATCCCAGTTCCAGCCTGCAAAATTACAATGTAAAACAGGTGAGTTTTCTTCTGGTTAAGACTTGAGACTAGAACTGAAAGCATGTGAGTTCTCAGAATCATAGATTAATCTTACTTCTCCGGCACCCAAGAAGAGGAACTTGTGATCAGCAAGGGAGCCACCAAGGATCTTCAATGCTGAAACAACTCCTGCAAGAACCACAGATGCTGTACCCTGCAACAATAGGAAATAAAATGTTAGCATAAGTAAATGTAAAGAAGACAAGTAATCTAAATCTTTTTGGGAGAGGCCAAACCTGGATATCATCGTTGAAAACAAGATGACTTGTACGGTACTTCGCAAGTAGTTCAAAGGCATTGTGGTTGGCAAAATCTTCAAACTGAAGCATTTGGCAAAAATATAGCATACAGCAAGACAAGCCTATAAGAACTTCATTCATAAAAATAAAAATAAAAAAAACAATAAAAAAAAAACATATAAGAACTTTTGGAGTAAGGATATATGAACTTAAGGAATTGCTTCATGCCTGAATAAGAACTTTTTCACCATAACACTGCTTTACAGCTGACATGAACTCATGAAGAAGTTCAGAATATTCCTGGAAACAAGAGTCACAAAGAGGCATTAGCTAATCCAATTGCCAAGGAACTCCGGACCTGCTTTCTAATCAAGGGAGTGGACAGTACCTGGCCAGTAGCCCTCCTTTGTTTAAGTCCAATATAGAATTCATCATTCAGCAACTTCTCATTGTTTGTACCAACATCAATGGTAATAGGCAAACACTACCAACGACAAATCAGAGACATTCTCAATCAGCATCCAAATAAGTATAATTTCTGTACACAAACATTTGTGTTTAGAAGAACACAGCTCCAATCTACCATAACTGGGGCTAAATTTCTGAAGAATGCTTACTGCAGATGGGCGAATTCCTCCAAGCGCGGTGTAAAGAGACAACTTTCCAACAGGAATTCCCATCCCCTGTTACAAAGTCCACCATTAATCAGATTTCACTTGCATACAAAGTACATGAAGCAAGAAACTGAAGCTCTGTTTAATGTACATCGCTTTTATGAGCTGCTAATTACAAATTTTCGGAACTGAGACTAGTATTACCTGGCATCCAAGATCTCCGAGTCCTAAAATCCTTTCACCATCTGTCACGACAATGACTTGAATGCTCCTCTCAGGCCAGTTCTTCAACACATCAAGAACTCTCCCCCTGCACACCCAATCATCTTTCGTAAGGAACAAAAAGATTCAACTAGCATACGCAAATCACTTGTTCACATAAATGGATCAGACTGACATACTTCTCTTTCAAGCTGATGTATAGACCCTGAGGGCGCCTGAAAATGCTGCCGTACTTCTGGCAAGCCTCCCCAACTGTGGGAGTGTAAACAACTGGCAGCAACTCCTCGACATTGTCGATGAGAAGCTTATAGAACAGCCTTTCGTTCCTCTCC